CCAACGAAGAAGCCGAATGCGACCCTATGTTCTACAGACAGGAACCTAATATATTTGACAGCATTGGTATTTGCATCCGATATGCGACTGGAAAGGAAATACCATATTAAACAGTTACCAGCATCTTAGATGCGTGTCATCAGTGCTGGATGCAGTTGGCACCTGCTAAGGTGCTCTCATCCGATGGGGGGGGGTGCCCTCAATAACGACACTGCAAAGGAGGTCCTCAAGGCAGAAGGCGCTGAGCTGAGGATGCGCGCGCGTGGACAGCACGCTACGCCAATTGAAGCCAGACGTAGTATATTACGCCATCTACTTCATGACATGGCAACTGAACTCAAAATGTTGGACATACCTCTTATGCTCACACGACTACTGCACGAAGCCCTGTTTGCCGCCAACGCACTCACCTTTTACAATGAGGTTGTTCCATATAGCGCTTTGTTTGGACGGCAACCGGCAATGCTTCCTGACCTGCCTGTTCTGGATCACGAAAAGCCGACAGAGACGTCTGACCATTCTGGAGAACAGGTGATACGCAGGGTGCGTATTGAAAGCTATCACACGGGCTACTGCAGCAGCCAAGACCAATCGTGCACTACGTACTAAGACAACGATTACCGGTCAGCATTACTACGATGAAGGAGACTTGTTGGACTATCATCGCCCCACAACTACGAAGGACGACTGGGGAGGCTGGAATGGCCCATTCCCGGTTGCACGGAATGATCCCGACAGGGGTCAAGTCATCATTGGAGTGGGAAAAAGCGATGTACAAGTCCAATATGGCGACGCGCGACATTTATTTTACGTCGAAGCATTGATAGCCAGAGAGAGTGGCTCTGACAACGCGTGCGTTTCGGAGAGTGTTGACAGTCGTCGACAGTCTACCTGCGGGGAGACCTGCCATGACACTTGGCTATGTCCCGACCAAAAAGGGAACGCTTCAGATGACCAGTGCGAGCCGACTGTCTCCCGAAGTACCTGTGGCGCTACAATGCCGCATCAGAAATTTCTTCCGCATCGAGAATGTAGTTTCCGTTTGGTTAGCGAAGAGTATTCAAAAGTTACCTCCGGTGGTTTATGCTGACAGCTGCGCGTTGGTACATGATGACAACGATGTGAATTCAGGTTTCCACTACTATGAAGCAGAAGGCATTGACCCGAACATTCATGACATAACTGGATCAGCACATTCGGGAATCATTCAGTGCCTAACGTCAACTAAACCTCAAGCGGGCTTCGACCAATATGTGACAAACTTGAGGAGCCGGCGGACATACCGACGCAAGACGATCACGCCAGAGGGGTCCCCGCAGCCGAACCACCACAGGAGGATGGACGGCTTCCCGCGATCTATGAGGATTCAAGAGCGGACCTTGAAGCACATATCATGGAGGCGTGGTACACAGACTTGCATGAAGAAAGGGAACTACTGGAGGCAACTCCATCAGATGACCTTTACACTGTACCCGCACACATGATCACCGACAACAGTGCGCTGGTCACGGTAGCTGAAGAACAGCGGGGGCACCTGCCTAATTGGGGTTGCCCACAAGATTCCGACATCGAGGAGACGCATCATGTCCCACGATGCTCTACGGTCGAAGAACACAGTTGCGGATTAGACTCTGACGATAATAGTCTTTAAGTAGAACCTTGCTTCACTGCAGAAATGTCAAAGTGGTCTTATCCGAACAACAGTGCAGGACATGAGATGTCGATCGTGTAACCACCGTGCGAGTATAGATGGCACCGCCGCCGCAAAGCGAGCTGCGGTTGTCAGGGAAGACGACTTCCTCGCGAAGGCCGACGTTCAGGCGAATACCGAGAAGGTATCCAAAGCCCTTGATATTGAACTCAAGACATGGTTTGACATCGAGTGTTTCAAGATGCAAGACATATCTAAAGCATCAAACATAATGACTTCGAGGTACGCACATGAGTGGAAGTTCGCGCAGAACGAGAAGGGCGAGATGGAACGCGCCATCAGACTACGCCTGGTGCTTCGTGGATTTGTGGACCTCGAGGCTTTCGACGCGGAACCCCCCTCAGGAATAGCGCGGCGGCCAAGCCAGAGATTACCCGCAAGCACGGCAGCGTGCAAGAAGCAATGGGCCATTGTTTCCCTTGACATCAACATGGCTGTCCTGAAAGGCTTAAACTCCAGGAACTTGCTGAGGCAGCTGGTGAGAAGGGACGCGTGGCGTGCTTTACCTTGCCGCTTGGATCGGCAACGGTGCTTCGCTCCCTTCCAGTCTTCGAGTACTGCGACGAGTCGAAGCGCTGCCTGCAGTGCCTCAAGCCAGGCACCGGCACCAAGGATGCACCCAGAGCTCTCTCATTGAAGCTCAGAAGGAAGACGAGAGGCCTTGGTCCCAGACCCACGTCCTACGACGAAGAGTTCGAGACAAGCAGCAACCTGCTTGCAGCCAAACATGTTGATGATATCAATATAGCCGGCACTGAGAACACAATTGACAAATGCGTCACGCGCGTCGGGGACACTTTCGGCAAGTGCAAACTCAACATGCATGGATCTGCCAATTGCGCTGCGAGGTACACAAAGGATGGGGGCGGTAATGTTGCATTGGGCCAGTATGATTACATCATGCAGCTCCGTCCTATACGACATCCTGAACTCAGGCGCAGACGCTGACACCAAAGCATCCAAGATGGTTGCTGACATGTTCGTCCGCCTCAGAGGCTCGTTGGCTTACGCCTTAGCCACATAAGTGTGGTTGATGATATTTGTGGTCTCTCTACAATGTGTCCAAGAACCGACCAACATACAAGTGCGACGACTGAACGCGATTACCAGACAGCTGCAGGCCTGCCCTAAGAAGATCATCTATCAACCAATGACTCCAACGGGTGAACTTGCCCTGCGCAGCGACTCCGGCGATCGACGCCTGAGATGAGATGACGATGGCGAGGTCAAAGGCTACGGCATTCGCGGGGCAAGCCTGCTACGGCGCGGACGCACGCCATCCAGTAAGCCCGTCGTCCACTTGACCGATGCGCACTGCAAGCCTCGCCGCTTGCAGGTCCGCTTAGGCTACTCAGCAGATGCACTTGCAGCAGCCCACAACTTGGAGGACTGCTATCCCACGATCGTGACTCTGCACGAGCTACATGCAGGTCCACCGACACCCACTCAATGGAAAGATATGCTGGAGTTGGGTGGCCTGAGCATCAGGGTCATTTTGACCATAGACGCCGAATCTGTATTCAAGTCCTTTTCCAGCAAAGACCTGAAGAAGCCGGCTGGGTGTGCTCTTTTGGGACATATCAGTTGGATACGACAGATGATGGAGCGAGGAATCGCGCATGGCATTCAGTGGTGCGACACTCGCGACATGACCGCGGACGGTCACGCAAAAGGGAGCATTGACATATATATGCTCGTACAGGTCATCGGAGGCACGCGATCCTTCAAGCATGACTTAAAACGTCATACTCCTTATCGGGCTGGCCAGACAACTTCGCGTGAGACCGCCTGAGGAGCAACCGCATGCACAGCAATGCGCTCGCAAGACAACCTGCTTGCGGGCCCACCTTCCTTACGGACCCGCTTTTTGCTGCCTTTATGTACATAGCATGTGCTTTATAGGGGCGGCGGACTCACGCTTCGTCTCCCTTCCCCCCGATTCTAAAGCGAGCTGGGACAAGGGCGAGAGATAGCGAGCGTTTGTCCGCGGCCGTTTGTGTACAAACGGCCGGCCGCCAACATATGATTGCGCCTCATTGCGGGGCATACTACTTGCCATCGGGACCGAAAACATCTTTCGCTTGAGATGGCCCGTCGCTCTCGCGACGATCTCCTCCGACTGGGACTACCGTTGCTACGATACAACAGAGCTGGAGATGCGCTTCGCATTAGGCGAAGCTTCTGGACGGGCCTACCGGCCCCCTTCAAACTCTTGGGGGTTTCTTGGGCCGTCTTGGGGCCATTTTGGGCGTCTTGGACCGATCGTGCGGCGATTCGGAGCCCTTTTGGACCGTCTTGGGGGCCTCCTGGAGCCCTCTTGGACCGTCTTGGGGCCCTCATGAGCCCCAAAAATTCGCGCGACAGGACGCGACAGACCCCAGGAGGCACGCGACGCGCTCCGGTCGATTCAGCCATCTGGAGTCCAGGACCCTCAAAGAATCCTCAGGATTGAGGGTGGAGGCTCCAGGGGATTCAACAAGGGACCCCAGGACACTCCAACTCGTGCCTCACGGGCACGGTGGCGGTCATGGCATTTGGAAGATTCCTGTGGGCTCAAGACACATTGGACACAGGTCTCGACAACCTTGTGTGAAGTTGCAGTATCCAGGTGCTTGCGGCAAACCCCGCCGCCGCGCCAGCGCAGCAACGCAGCTTGAAGGAGGTTGAGGTGAAGACGCATCTCGGAGATCCCTTGGGGCATCTTTAGGGCCTCTCGGGAGCCTTGTAGGTCCGACCGGGAGGCCTCAGGTGGTCTGTATGGGGGGGTTCTGGGAGGCGTCGCAGGGGTCTTTTGAGCCTCTCGAGACCTGCTTGGAGGCCTGTTTGGTGAGCTCGGTTATCTTGGGATGTGGTGTTACTTGTATTGGTTGTCGTGGAATGGTTTTGTTGTTGTGCTAGCTGTGACTAGTTTGGGTTATGTTTGCGGTGGCTGGCTGTTTTAATCCTCCTCGGGGGGGTCTCTCTGGGAATATTGTTTCTCCAATTCGGATTATGTTACAGAAAACGGCCCACAATCTATTCTGGAGGGGGCGTGGGAGACTTCGAGCTCCGGGCACAACGGGGGGATGGGGTCGGCACTGGAAGGCACTAAAGAGACTTGACCAGACAGCAGAAGAGCATGTTAACACGCCCCAGCGTGCAAAAGGCACGGTGGCGGATGACATCTCATTTCGTCGTGGCCTCGAGCGCGAAGACAACTCCTGATGGGGATGTTGATATAATGGATATGCATGTAGCCTTGGCGAGCGAGTTTCCAAGCAATGTATCGCTTGCGTATGATTGGTCCAAGTCAGCAGCTGCTTACAAGTCTGGATTTCCAGACATAAAAGCGTTGGCAGCTGAGTGGAAGCACAGTGTGGGCGATGCGCGAGCAGAGGTTACTCGCAAATTGGCAAGAGTCCTCGTAGGTGATGGCGGAGAGCAGCCGTCGACGTATTGGGCTGCTTATACGAAAGGCGTTGAAGGAGCTGTTCGTGCTTCCATTTGTCGTAGTCGTCACGTCGTTATGTGCTGCGTAGGGAATGGACCTGTTACTTCGGTTGAGAGGCTCAAGATGGAAGACATCAAAGAAGCAATTGAGAGGAATCTCAAACATCTTTCCATCATGAATGTGTCCAAGAGATTAACCATTGAAATGTTCGATACACATGTCGAGTTTGAAGATAGAGTCAGGGCAGCCGTCCAAGAGGAGAACTTACAAAGGGACGTAGAAAATCAACTCCGAGAACATCCCATGACGATTCCTCGCGAATATATCGACTTCATCACGCAGCACGTTATGGAAGACCCAGTCAAAGTCCAGGTGAAGTCAGAAACTTTTGATACGTGGGAAAGGTATGGGAACAAGAGCATTAAGGACTGGATTGCAAAATGCAGGTCCAGCAATGCACCGATCACATCTCCGAAGAGTGGATTTCTGCTGGTCGATGGAAGCATTGAACGAGATCTTGAGTTCGAGGGCAAACTCAAAATGTATGCAGATGCGCTGCCGCGCATATCCGCGACCACGCGCGGAGAAGCTGCGGAGCAAGCCACGCACGGCCGTGGCGTTGCGCGGCGGTGCCTCCTGCGGGGGCTCTCGAGGCGCTTTGTGGGGGGCCCTTTTGGCTTTTCGGAGCTGTCGAGTGAGCCGCGAGATCGCTTGGAAGGTTCTGCAGCAGCATTTTGGGGATACCGGGGCCGTAATGGGATTTGTCGGGCCGTCTTGGATCGGTCGTCTTGGGGCTGTATTAGGAGAGCAACGTGTTGTGTCGGGGTCGTCTTGGGGTTTCCTATAGGGGCCTCCTCGACTGCCGGGGCGTCGGCCAGGGTGGCCCGCCGAAGGCCGTCCAGATGCTTCTTGGATGGCAGAGATTTTCCAAACTTTGTTTGCACTTTTAGGAGTTCTTCTGTTCCAAGGAACTGGGCCTGTGCGTCGGTCTGGCGGCTATGTTGCCGCCGTCGCCGCCCCGTCGCCGCCTCGTCGCCGCCCGACGTCTTTGGCTGTGCGTCAGTTTGGCGGCTATGTTGCCGCCGTCGCCGCCCCGTCGCCGCCTCGTCGCCACCCGACGTCAGGGGCTGTGTGTCTGTCTGGCGGCTACTTTGCCGCCGTTGTCGCTACGTCGCCGCCCGACGTTTTGAGCTTTGCGTCGGTCTGGCGGCTGTTGCCGCCGTCGCCACCCCGTCGCCGCTTTGTCGCCGCCCGAAGTCTGGGGCTGTGCGTCGGTCTGGCGGCTATGTTGCCGCCGTCGCCGCCCCGTCTCCGGCTCGCATAGTCTGCGCCGCATAGATTGCACGCGTAGGTATTGTTCTTTCTTTGGGAAAAAAGTCGGATCTACCACCCCCCACATTTTGCATTGTATTGATGATTGTGCCCCATTGTCCATGCTAAATCTGAACTCTTGCCACCCCAGCCCAAACAGTACTGATCCCCCCGCCATCCTATGGAACAAGTCGTATGCGCGCACATTCGTTTACCAAAAACCATCAGTTATGTAAGACCCCCTGTAACAAATTTGACGAAATGCGCACGCGCGCGTCGTCGCGCGCGCTTGCCGAAATCCTTGAAAAACCTAGGGAACCGCAAGGAGTTCAAAACCGAGTGTCCCGAACACCTATAAAACACAGGGCTTTCCCATAGGCTCAACGAGTTAAAAAGTTAAGTCGGCCCAACAAATAAGTAAACGACTTATTTTCCATCAGAAATTCAGAAACTGATTTTAAAAAAGAAACTCGGTGGTTGTGGTAATAAAAAGGTTTTCTTAGTTCCAACACCTCTTGAAATATAACAACTTTGCTGCCCGACCCGTTTGGCGGTGGTGGCGGGGTGGTGGTCGTGGTGGCAGTCGTGGTGGTGGTGGTGGTGGTGCTGGTGGTGGCGCTGGGGTGGTGCCCGTTGGTGGTGGTGCTCGTGGTGGTGTTGGTGGTGGTGGTGCTGGTGGTGGTGGTCGTAGTGGCGGTCGTGGTGGTGGTGCTCGTGGTGGTGGTGGTGCTCGTAGTGGTCGTGGTGGTGGTCGTGGCGGTGGTCGTGGTGGTGGTCGTGGTGGTGGTGCTCATGGTGGTGGCGGTGGCCGTGGTGGTGGTCGTGGTGGTGGTCGTAATGTAGGCCGTGGTTGTGATCCTGGTGGTGGTCGTGGTGGTGGTGCTCGTGGTCGTGGTGGTGGTGCTCGTAATGGTCGTGGTGGTGGTGCTGGCCGTGGCGGTGGTACTGGTGGTGGCGGTGGTGGTCGTGGTGGTTTGCCAAACGCTCGTGGTGGTCGTGGTGTTGGTGGTCGTGGCGGTGGTGGTCGTGGTGGCGGTCGTGGTGGTGGTCGCGGCGATGGTGGCCGCGGTGGTGGCGGTGGTGGCAAGAGGGAGACACGGCGCGGTGCCTGCCTGGCACCCGCGGCAGGCTTGAGCCAAAATAGCTACGGATCCTCCCTCCTCCTCCTCCTCCTCCTCCTCCTCCTCCTCTTCCTCCTCCTCCTCCTCTTCCTCCTCCTCCTCCCCCTCCTCTCTCCTGCCTCGCCTCCCCTGCTCCTCATCCCTCCCCCCCTCCTCCTCCTCCCCTCCTCCTCCTCTCCTCCTCCTCCTCCTCCTCCTCCTCCTCCTCCTCCTCCTCCTCCTCCTCCTCCTCCTCCTCCTCCTCCTCCTCCTCCTCCTCCTCCCCCTCCCCCTCCTCCTCCTCCTCCTCCTCCTCCTCCCCTCCTCCTCCTCCTCCTCCTCCTCCTCCTCCTCCTCCTGCTCTCCTCCTCCTCCTCCTCCTCCTCCTCCTCCTCCTCCTCCTCCTCCTCCTCCTCCTCCTCCTCCTCCTCCTCCTCCTCCCCCTCCTCCTCCTCCTCCTCCTCTCCATCCTCCTCCTCCTCCTCCTCCTCCTCCTCCTCCCTCCTCTTCCACCTGCTCGGAGGAGGAGGATGGGGAGGGGGCACTACAGTCGCGACGACGTGCGCCCGAGGCTCGCCGCTTCCAACACTTACACGGGCGGGGGGCGGGTGGTCTTCCAAATGGGGCTTTCGCTTAGGCGC